GCTTCGTGCCGCGTCCTGCTTCCTCAAGCCAGCGCGCCGCGGCCGCGCCGCCGCCTCTAGCGCCGCTTACCCTCTGTCGCTTGCCCCGCCTGGCTGGCCAATATAGATTTAGGCACTCGAATACCCTGGCAGCAGATCCCTAGACGATTCCTGGCGCCCATGTTCTTCCTAACGCCGCCCACCTTGGCCCCCACGCCGCACACGCACACGCGCGCGAGCGCCGCGGCGCGGAAGAAATGACGCGGCGCAGGCGCGACCGAGGGGTTCGTGCTCGGCGGACGTACCACGCACGCAGCAGCAGCACTACGACATTCCCATGGGCCCTCTGTACATGACCCTGCCTAGAGGCGCGCACGTCAATACCCGACCGTTCCCTCGAAAGATTTTCGACCCCCCGCCCCTCCCCCCGTTGTCTCCTGCAGCGGCGGCGGTGCATGACGCGACGCTCGCGCGCCCCTCTGGCCAAGCGCTGCCTGTGCAGCGCCCGGGGCCATGTTCCTCGCGGGCGCAGCGCTGGCAGCGGCCCCACATCCCCCCTGTTTACGAGAAGCCAGCAGGAGCCTCACATTCCCCCTGTTCACGCGAAGCCCGCCCATAGAACTGCGCTTGCTCCCGAGGCGCCGTCTGTGCGCCGCGCCCGCCCCCGCGGCGCTTGCAGCAAGCATCTCACTCCACGCACCAACGGTTTGTGCAATCCCTTGCGCTGCCGGCTTTGTCAAACGTACATAATGTAACTAGAACTGACCTTTCAGCACTTGGAGATGCCAATTCACACAAAAGCAGCATGCGTGGTGAACCTCGATGAATTCGATGTTGTGTGCTCGTCTCCACTACGGAGCATTGCGTCTGAGGGTCCTCGATGTGTGCCAGCGGCTGGGTCCTGGTGCAAGCTCTGGTTGGGGTTTGACGGGCCGCAGGGGAGGGGGGCATGCAGGAGAGGCAGTTGGCCGCTGCTGATAAGGTGGTATCGTGACGTACAGCACAACCTATGGGGCGGGGCGGACCAGCCCCTGACTTTGGTGATCAAGTGCGCCGGCGCACGGGAGTGCAGTGGCCAGCGAGGCGCCTTGATCTTCTAGCGCACATCAAACCACGCACATCATGTATGCGGACATAATACCGTTTGTTCTTCCGTATCAGTTGGCGTCCAGTCCTGAAGGCTCTGGATCGACAGATATGGATGAGGTAATTGTCGCCAAGACGCAGCTGGAAAAGAAGGTGCGCTTTAACCTTTTGAAGAGGGACGATTGCTTGCCAAGCAGTGCTGCGATGGCGAGCCGCGGCGATTAGCGGGCTGCGTGACCGCGCCTCCTTGAGTGCAGTGCGCTCTGGCTTGCGCTCTGGCGCGGCGTTCCACCCGCTCTCGCACGATTCCAGAGCTGCATGCCTATACTCTGCCACCATACCTGCCAGTACATGCGCAGGCCAACCACATGCTTGGTTTACATGGCAACGGTCCGCAGTTGAATTTTCGTGCCTCACGGCACATCGGGGCCACCCCCATTGCACCCCCAACCTCAACAGCACACGCCACACACAACATATGCATGCATGCACGCACACTCCTGCAGGCAACTTTTGAGGCTGGCATAACGACCCTTCTGCGCCTCGCCGAGCAGCGCGCCGCCCCGCCGGCCGCGCTGCTGCCCGCAGCGCAGCGCGCGCACGCCCTCCTCAAGGCCCGCTACAGCAACCCAGCCTGGCTCAAGCTCGGGGCCCGCTTATTCTCAGCCCTGCTTGCGAATCCAGGCGGCGGACTGGATGCCGCGCAGCGCGCCAAGGTCGACGGCTTCGGCGCCGACTTGAGGCGGCTTCTCGGGGACGAGGCGGAAGGCGAGGGGGCGGCCCCCCGCGAGCGCACGCTGGGGGAGTTGCTGGGGATCCCGCCGCCGCAGGCGCGGGCCAGCCACCTGTCTGACGCCGGCTTGGTCCTCGAGCAAATCGGCGGCGCCGCCCCTGGGCAGGGGCCGGGCGCAGGTCAGGGCGCAGGGGAGGATATGCTGCAGTTGCTCGCGATGTACGCCGATGCTGGGCAGGGCGGGCCGCAGGAGCGGGACAGCGGCGACGGGCAGCAGCGGGAGCAGCAGGAGCAGCAGCAGGGACAGCAGCGCCGCGACGGCTCACGACAGCAGCAAGAGGGTGGCGATGACCGTCAGCAGGAGGGGCAGCAGCGGCGGCAGCAGCAGGACGCAGCTGCCCCGCAGCTGCCGGAACTGACCAGCCTGGCTGGCCTGCAGGCCCTGCTGGCGCAGCTGCTCGCGCGCCGCTCCGCAACCGCGGACGGGGGCCAGCAAGAGGCCAGCGGAGCCGGCGACGGCCAGCCAGGCGGCGACGGGCAAGAGGAGCAGAGCAGCGACAGCGCCGGTGACGGCGAAGGTGGCGTGTTGGGTGCGCTCAGCGCTGACGTCATGCTTGAGGAGCTGGAGATCATGATGGCAACGTGCGTGGCTTTGCTTGGGGTGCCGTGGGGTTGGGCAAAGACGACAGAAGGCGGTGGAAGGGCATGATCAGGCCTGTGGTTGGCCGACTGAGCACAAGGCAGGAGCCGCGGGTCAGAAACACGACCCGCTCACGTGCGACGCACGCGCACCTCACGCGTAATCCAATTTGCGCAGCATCGAATCTGAGGCCGGCGCCGCGCAGCCGCCATCGCGGCCGCCCGCGTCGCGCAAGGTGGTGGCCAGCCTGCCCGTGGTCAAGATTGATGCGGCAGCCGCCGCCCGCGCCGCTGCGGCCGGCGAGACCTGCCCCGTCTGCTGCGAGCAGTGGCGCGAGGGCGAGGAGCAGCAGCGGCTGCCGTGCGGGCACAGCTTCCACCCGGGGTGCAACGCGCCGTGGCTGGCGCAGCACAACTCGTGCGCCATATGCAGACATGAGTGAGTACCGGTACTGCACCCAAAGGAGCGCTCGAGCTCTTGGGCTTCGGGGCTCCTGTTGAGCTGTCACATTGATAAATGTCACGGTTCGACCGCCCGCGTGAGTTGGGGCGCGTGTACGATCGACGCCCTGCCGCTGGCCACACTGCTGTATACAACAGATTCTCCTCTTGTTGCAGCGCCCATGGCGCACCGCCCACCAGGCAGATGCCCCAACCCGAACCACCCTGGCAGGCTGCCGACTGACGACCACGCTTATGAGGCACGCAAGGAGCGGGCGGCGGCCGAAGAGGAGGACCGACGCGGGGCGGCGGCGGCGCTGAGCCACAACGAATTCATGTACACTTGAGGGGTCCTGGGCGCGGCGGGGCGTGACATTGTATTTGCTGTAGGGGTGACGTCACACGTTGCACTGCAGGATTTTCCCTTTGGCTGGCCTCGGCCCCGCTGCCAATGCAAGAATGCGGGCAACGTGTGGCCTGCAACACCCTTGATGTGCTGGGACACACAGGTTGATTGATTTGGCTTCAGTCCTAGATGTTCCGATGCTCCTTTTGCCCAAATCTGACGTATGAGAATATGTGTTGATGCAACTGAGAGTCGGATCTGCAAGATTCTCCAAGGTTCTGCAAGCAATATTGTATCTGCTGCACGGAGCGGCCTGCTGCCATCCTCCATCCGGGTGCGAAGAAGGCCATGAGTTGTACCATGTCGAGGGGTTGTGTGCCTGCGGCAGGCCCAGTGCTGGAAGGTAACTGACAATGGGTAGACCAGTCTACCCATTACATCACAGGAGTTTGGAGGCCGTGCAGGTGTCAGTGCCTGCCAGCTGATAGGGACCGGCGCTGTGCGCCCAACTGTTAAGCTGCTCAGCAAGGGGCAGCACGGGATTCAAATTGTCAGGTTGGGGCAGTGGGCAGGCGGCGCAGGCAGATACGCCACCTGCGTTCCTGTTGGGTGCCTTGTACAGCACTGTGAGGTGTGAAGCACTTGCTTCTCAAACACCCCAATTTCTCAAGTTGAGGCGGGTGAGCAATGTGGAGGACAACGTATGGCGGCTACGCGGGCTGGCTTTCACGCCAAAGCTGTGAGCTGTGGTGCGGCATGCACATGTGTACGCGTGTGCGTGAGATGCTTGTGCGTGTATGCACGTATGTGTGTGTGTATGTGATTGTATGTGTGTGCATGCATGTGTGTAGGTGTGTATGCAACTCGCACACGCACACGCATGTGTATACAATTCGCACACGCACACGCACGCGTGAAAGGTGGAGAGAGCGAGCGAGGGCACAAGTGGTGGCGCGCGTGGTGCGGTGTGCAATTTGTCGTGCTCAGTAACTCCTGAAACACCATGATGGAGCCTGCACTTTGTTGCCGTTGATTTAGTGTCGACTGCGTGCTGTATGTCGTTCTCCCTGCACATGTATACCTTCACCTTTCTCGGCCGCACATTCCATCTGCAACTCTTGTCGTGTAACGTTTGGCAATCTGTCCAATCCCGCAACCTGCCAACATTACAGTGCTGTACTTGTGTAATTGTGCGCATTTGCATGCGTGTTTCGCCTCCAAGATACAGGTTGTGAGCGGAGCAGCACTCGCGCTGCTGGCGTGGCAGCTTGCAAAGCAGCTGCCTTGACACGTGTGCGCCGTATCGCGCGTTGCACCTGATGTGCCGCGCATATATACTCACATGATAATGCACATGTATCACTGGACCGTCTAAACGCGTTCATCAGGCAGTGTGCCCGTGTCGCAGATCACATTATTATGCAGACTGCAGCACGGGAGGATCTTGCGCCAGGGATCAGCACAAATCTTGAAGAGCAGCGGGACGATCCAGATGCGCGACGAGGCGACGTGCAGGCAGCCCCTGCATCATCCGCAGCGCCGGCAGCACCAGCGCCAAGCGGAGAGCTGGCGAGCAACCGCAGCACTGGCGCACCCAGCACGAGCGGCCTGATGCCGCCACCCCCCGACCGCGCCCCCTGGGCAACCCCACCAGCAAGCATCAGCAGCAGCGGCGGGACCGCCAGCGGCCGCAGCATCAGCCCAGCCACCGGCAGCCACTTTCCGCAGCTCGCGCGCCCCCTGCCGGGCGGCGCCGCCGTCACTGGCAGCAGCCACGACACAATGTCCCCGACAGCAGCCCCCTGGGCCCTCGGCGGCGCCCCTTCCCCGTTCCCTCCAACCACCCCCGGCATCGCCGCCACCGGCACCCTCAGCGGCCCGCCCGGCGGCCCCGGCGCCGGCATTGCGGCGCTGCGGCGGCAAGGAAGCGGCGCGGGCGGCGGCGGCGCACTGCTGTCCGGCAGGGCGGCGGCGCCCTTAGTCATCGCGCAGCCCTCGATGCCGCGCGCGCGCCCGCCGCAGGAGCAGCAGCAGCGGCAGTGGGAGGCCCCGGCGAAGCGGATTGGTAGCGAGGAGGAGCTGAGGCGGTTTCTTGAGGGGGAGGCTGCGAAGGACTTTGTCGCATTCGTGCTGTCCCTGAACCAGGCCGTCACGGGTGCGCCCTGGCCCGCCCGTTTTGGGCCGCGGCTGCCGCGGCTCTCGGGCGTCTCCGGGTGGGCGGCGCGGCGGTGGGCCGCTGCTGCGTTGCTCCACGCAGGATCGCATCAGATGGGGCGGCGACGCTGTTCCCCCAACCCCCCAACAGCCCCCTGGACGTC